GGGAACCAGAGATATCAATATATAATGAAATTAACTACAAAGCAAAAGAGGGATTAATGTAGATTCAAAACTTCTAAATGGCAAGGACATCAAGTAGATTTCAAGATAAAGTAGACTGTTTTAAGCAGGTAAAAAAAAAATTAATTTACAGGGTAAATACACTTGCACAGCAAAATAAAAAAGAGGAAAATCAGATTTATAAATATAAACACTACAGAAATGGAATAAAAAATTCAGCAGCACTACCAAAAACACACAGAAAAATGATATCAATTCATACCTATTGATAATTACACTGATTATAAATGGATTAAAGGTACCAGTCAAGAGACCTAAAGACCAGAATGGATTAGAAAGCAGAATCCTTCAACATGCTGTCTACAAGAGACATATTGAAAAAATAGAGACAGCCTAAATGCCCATCAACAGAAGGTTAAATAAACTTTGGTACATACACACAATGGAATATTACAAAACTTTGAAGAATAATGATGAATTTGTGAAACCTCATAACATGGTTGAACCTGAAGGACATTATACTTAGTGAAATGAATCAATCACAAAAGGACTAACATTGTGTGAGACCAAAAAGTTAAAACAATGTATTTTCTTCATAAAAGAAACAATCTATCATAGTTACCGGGGAGAGATATATGGAAAATTATTCATGGGCTAAAAGGTTTGTTGTTGTTGTTATGTGCCTTGGAGTCGGTTCCAACTCATAGCAACCCTGCATAGGGTTTCCGAGGCTGTAAATCTTTACTGGAGTAGAAAGCCTCATCTTTCTCCCACAGAACAGCTGGTAGTTTCAAACTGCTGACCGTGAGTTTAGCATCCCGATTCGTAACCACTGTGCTACCAGAGCTCTTTGAGCTTGAAGGTACACACATATTAACATGGGTGACAGGGCAGGCAATATACAACAAGAGGGAGGTAGCAGAGGAAAAATGAAGGTAGGGGCAGACACGGGAAGGAAGGGAATATTTAAAGTGAATAAAGGTAAATGCTGTTAACTCTTTATACAGTAGATTACAACCATGTAGTGATGCAAAATGTGTGGTTTGTTGAATGTAAAACTGATGATCTGCTCTGTAAACCTTCACTCAATTCACAATAAAGAGTTTTTCTAAAAACTGTACAGCCTTGGAAATCCTATAAAGGGTCTTTATGAGTCAGAACCAACTCAACAGCAATGCAGCAGCAGGAGCAGGCGGGGGAGTACAAGAATTTAGGAAAATAGAAGGAAGAAAATCTGATGGCTGAGAGCATTTTTCTGTTCAGCTCTTTTGCCTCCTTATTTTTTCCATTTGCTTTAGCATCTGTATGCTGGAGAGCAAGTTTCAGAGTCTCTTCTGACATCCATTTTGGTCTTTTCCTTTTTTCTTGGTTCTTAATGACCTTTTGCTTTCTTTCTGTATGATTTTCTTGATGTCATCCCACAACTTCTTGTCTTTGGTTGTTAGTGTCTATTGCATCAAATTTATTCTTGAGATGATCTCTAAATTCATTTATATGTTCAAGGTCGAATTTTGGCTCTTGTAGATTTGTTTTAATTTTCTTAAGCTTCAGCTCTGTGCTTGCATATGAGCTTGATGGTTTGTTCCATAATATGTTCTTTGCTTGTATTTGTCTAATGACACTGAACTTTTCATCGTCTCTTTTCACAGATATAGCCAATTTGATTTCTCTGTATTATCTCTGGTGAAGTCTATGTATATAATAATCTTTTATGTAGTCTGAAAAAGATGATTGCATTGAAGTCACTGGTCTTGCAAAATCCTATCATGTGATCTCCAATGTTGTTTGTATCACCAAGGCCATATTTTCCAACTACTGATCGTTCCTCTTTGTTTCTAACATTCACATACCTATCACCAGTAGTTATCAATACACCTTGATTGCATGTTTGATCAATTTCAGACTGCAGAAGTTGGTGGAATTCTTTAATTTTGTTATCACTGGCTTTAGTAGCTAGTGCATAAATTTAAAATAATAGTAATATTGATAGGTCTTATTTGTAGGCTATTATCCTATCATAGGCAGCATTATATTTCCTCATAGATCTTGAAATGCTCTTTTTTGATGATGAAATTGGTGTCATTCCTTAATTTTTCATTCCCAGCATAGTAAACAATATGATTATTTGATTGAAAATGATCAATACCAGTTCATTTCATCTCACTGATGCCTAAGATGTTGATATCTATGCATTCCATTTCATTTTGACAACTTCCAATTTTCCTGGATTCATACTTCATATAATCCATGTTCTGATTATTAACAGATGTAGTTGGGAGATACTTGCTAAAATAGGTCTAGTAGAAAGGGAAAAGAAAGCTGACAGAGATAGGAAGGTCCACGAGAAGACTGGAGAAGAGGAATTCTGAGCACAAGGCCAGAGTCATAGATTGGCTAGAAAGAGCCTTTTCTGTAAACAGGTGGTGGTGGTTATGTGCTGTGGACTTGGCTCTGACTCATAGCGACCTTATACAGAGTTTCTGAGACTATAAATCCTTATGGGAGTAGAAAACCTCATCTTTCTCCCATGGAACAGCTGGTAGTTTCGAACTGCTGCCTGAATCGTAACCATTACACTACCAGAGCTCCTTAAATACTGCTTAGAGGGATATATTTGCAGAAAGTCTAAGTGGCTGGCATAGTAAGTTTGAAGAGAATGAGCCTTTTAGTTAGAAACTGTTGAGAGGAAAATTGGCTTACATACAGAGGGAAGCCAGGCAGTGTTCACCTGACGATCTGTCATCCTGGAGTGGTACCAGCCACTGGCTCTGCTGTGTTTTCACCCCAGACTCTGCTCAGCAGCACAGGTACAGACAAAGTGGAAAGAGACAGTTGGAACAATCTAGGGTTGAGATGTTGTCAAAGAGATGTGAAAAAATGACCAATAGAGGTAGGATATTAATGACTGACTGAAGTGATGAACTTTGAAGTATAGTTTGTTAAGGAAATCCATGAAGTATGGAGGAAACTGACAGGTCAGAGGACTGGAGGCATCAGTGCAGTCCAAAGACAGGTGAAGTGGAGTAACTAAATGAGAATACTAGAAAGCAAAAGTAACTCTGATCAGAAAGGAATGTTTGAATTTATGTTGTCTGAGATCAAGCAGTTCTTGACAGTAAAGCCCAGAACACATATTTAGAAACAGTAGCCAAATTTAAGTTGGTAGTCTATGTTATCTGATGGAAGAATAAGGAAGAAAGGAAGTAAGTACGGAGAAAAGAAAGGAAAGGAGGTAGAGGGTTGCTACCTTCCAGTAACAGGTATTTTTTTATGATGCTGCTGCAGCTTGATTGCCAAAGAGCTAGCTGGGGAAATCACTGCCACGTGCCTTTGTAGAACCCTTATTAGGCTATTATTCAGTGCTGGTGAATCAGTTCCAACTCCTAGCGAGACCCTGTGCTCCAAAGAATGAAACACTGTGCTAGCTTCACCATGTTTTAGCTCATTGTTGCTGCCATTGTGTCAGCTCATTGGGGTCTTCTTTTTAGTTGACCATCTGCTTTACCAAACATGTCCTTCTCCATGGACTACTCTCTCATGATAACCTGTCTAGTATGAGAGATGAACTTTTGCCTTCCTAGGTCCTAAGGAGCATTCTGGCTGTATTTCTTCCAACACACATTTGTTTGATCTTCTGGCAGTCCATTGTACTTTCAATAGTTTTTATCAGTGAAATAAAAAACCCACTAACATTGAATCAGTTCTGATTCACAGGGACCCATTGTAGGGTTTCCAAGTCTGTGTCTTTATGGAAGCAGAAAACCTAATCTTTCTCCCGAGGAGCAACTGGTAGATTCTAGTTGCTGACCTTACAGTTAGCAGTCCAATGTGTAACCCACTTCTCCACCATAACTCAAATGCATCAATTATTTATTATCCATTCTTATTTATTCATTGTCCAACTTTCACATGCATATAATTTGATTGAAAGTACCATAGCTTGGGTAAGGCACACCTTAGTCCTCAAATTGGTATCTTTGTGCTTGAACAGCTTCAGGAGGTCTTTTGCTGCAGATTTGCCTAATGTAGTATGTCATTTGTTTTGTTGGCTGCTGCTTCCATGCATGTTGATTCTGGATTCAAGTAAAATAGTCTTTGACAGGTTCAGTCTTTTCTCTGTATGTCATGATATTTATGGGCCCAGTTGTAAGGATTTGCATTTTCTTTGCTTTTGAGGTACAATCCATACTGAAGACTGTATTCTTTGATTTTTATCAATAAGTACTTCAAGTCATCTTCACTTCAAGCAAGTAAAGTTATATCATTTGCATATTGAAGATTGTTAATGAACCTTCCTCTAATTCTGATGTCACATCCTTCTTTGTAGAATCCAGGTTTTCAGGTTATTTGTTCAGCATATAGACTGAATAAGTATGGTGAAAAGTTACAACCCTGGTACATACCTTTCTTGCATGTGGTATCCCCTTGTTGTTGTTCTTTTTGAACAACTGCTTCTTGGTCTATGTACAGATTCTTCATGAGCACAATAAAGTGTTCTAGGATTCCCAGTCCTCATAATGTTATTCATAATTTGTTATGATCCACACAGTTGATTATCTTTGCATAATCGATAAAGTATAAATAAACATCTTTCTGGTACTCTCTGCCCTCAGATAAGGTTCATTTGAAGTGAATCACCTCTCCTTCCTAGTCTGTCTTAGTTTCAAAGTTCAGCTGAAAGAAACCTGCCCACCATGGTGACCCTGCTGGTATTTGAAATGTTGGAGCCATAGATTCCAGCATCAAAGCAAGACACAAGCCACCATAGTACAGCAAACTGACAGATAAATAGTAGTAATACAGAAGTCCTAGTCTCCCAAAGTTTCCAGGGACCTCATGCTGTTCTTGTGGCCTTAGTACAGGATGCTGGTGGCAAGCTGGTTTATGTGAAGACAAGGGAAGTTGGAAAATACAAATTTCCTTGGTGACTTGGAGATATTCCAAGAATAGAGTGATTAATTATATTTTCATCTAACTTGTAGATGGACCAGTATCTTCAGAAACAGCATCCAGTAAAAATAATCCCAAAGATGAGCTTAGTGTAAGTATTGAAAGTGAAATTTTATTCATGCATTGAAGAGCCTTGTAATTTCTTGATTTACTGGAATAGAAATTTAGATAAATGTAGATTTTAATATAAAAGTGCTTCTCTCGCTCTCTCTTTTTTTAAACAAATGTACTTCCAGTTTAACATTATAGTTGTTTCTTTTCTGGATTGTAACATTTTAATATTTGGTTGTTGTTGTTGTTGTTGTTAAGTGCCGTCGAGTCGGTTCCGACCCATAGCGACCCTGTACAGGGTTTCCGAGGGTGTAAATCCTTACGGGAGTAGAAAGCCTCATCTTTCTCCCGCGGAGCAGCTGGTAGTTTCGAACCTCTGACCTTAAGGTTCGCAGCCCGATTCGTAACCACTACGCTACCAGAGCTCCTTAATAGAGTGTAATTTGTAGGTTAAGGGTTTTGAGTTAGTTTAAATAAGAATATGGATTTTCTTCTTGGATTTTTAAGTATTTAAAAAAGTGCATTTTTTTTACTGCTTTGTAATCTTGATTTTGATTGCCTTGAAAATAAAAACATAGGCATGTTATATTTTTTTGTCTTCAGTATATGGTTGATAAAAGAATATATATTTTGTTACTCTTGGACTGTAAGTTTTATCTTTAGCCATAATATTACTTATTAATGAAAATTGCTTTCTATTAAGTTAAAATATTTTTGATAACTAAAAGCTACCCAATAGGTTAATATGGAAAACTGTTTAAATCTTTCTATGGAGTCTTTTAAGACTATTTTCTACCAAGGTGCCAAGGCTTCTTCAAAACCTAAAATTCTTAGAAAAACTCTTCTGGATTTTACAGATTTCAGTAACTGCCATGTGTCAATTTGTTATAGAATTCAAACGTGCATGATCCATCGCTCTCTGCCGAAAATAAAGCAGTTGGACCTAGGTTTGTTCCTCCACCTCCAGTCAGAGGTTTATTGTACCCAGTGGACCCAAGAGGATTTTTCATGAGAAGAGGACTTCCTGTTCCTCCACCTCCTCCAGGAAGCATGTATGGAGCTCCCCGAGATGATTTTTCGCCAAGGGATTCCCCTGGCCCGCCACAGCCTCCAGTAGCAAGTATGCTGGTTTATGTGTGTGTATTTTAAAGTTTAATGTGTATTTAACAGAGTAAATCAGGGATACTATCTTTTTACCTAGTAAGACAGTAGAAGAAAAAAAAAGTTTCACATGTTCTGTGAGTATACTTTTACTTTATTTACCATCCTGGGAAGGATGAGACTCAACCTGATCTATTTTATTTGTGTATTTTAGTAGTCAAAAAATAACTTAGTTAATGTTAAGACTAAATTTGTTTGGTATTTTATAGATACTAATTACTGTGGCATTTGGCAAAAAGAGTTGTATTTAAGTTGGCCTTAAAATTACTGGCTAAAGTATATATGAGGTAGTTTTGCATAAGCAGTTGCCATGTGGTTCTACTAAATCCAAACTTAAAATGTATTTGGTGTGTTTGTTGAATTTATTGAAATTCTTTCACAGTTTCACATAAGAAAAAATAAACAGTTTATTTCTTTTATACTTATACATTGCCATTTAGTACTATAGGTTTTTAAAGGATAAATATATGGTATATTATACTCAAGATTGTATACATTGTTCAGATAATTATAATGGTGTCTGTTTTGAGCATAAAGAAAGGTATTGGAAGTTATAAGCTAATGATTTATGAGGATTGCAGTACAGTTGCTTAAAGTTAAAAAATGTCTTTTATCCATGTCTTTGAACAGTGGGAAACATCAATGCACCAAGAGCTTTTCCTTACTGTCCCCCAAGAACTGGATTTTACCCTCCACCTTCACATCCTGAATTCTCTACGGGGTTGATTTCACTTCCAAACAAGAATCCAGAAGAGCCACAAGAAACTTGAAAATTTTTCGGTCTGTGTTCAAAAGTGATTTTGACACATCTAATTTTTACTTTAAGTAACGGCTGTTACTTCAATGATAATAAGCTTCGGACTGAAGCTTAATGAAATGATCAGTCTCAGGATAGTATTTTGT